AGGAGACGTTTCCGACCACATAAAGTATATATATTCTTGATCAGCATCAACAGCCGAGTCCATCTAGCCATGTCCGTCTGTCCGTTTCTATGCGAACTAGTCCCTCAGTTTTAAAGCTGAAACTTTCCCAAAAGTCTTCTTTCTATTGCAGGTAGTACATATGTCGGAACGAGCCGGATCGGACCACTATATCTTATGGCTGCCATAGGAATAATTAACAAAATAGAGATTTTTATTTTCTTTCTTAAAGAGTTCGTCGAATTTTTTGTATTTTTTAACTTTATTATTCTAAAGTAAAAAGTCGAATGAAAAACATTGGTTCTTAACCTAGAAAACGTAAGCACGATAAAAGTTTAAGACCTACTTTTGGTTAAAACGGCCCTAAATGTGGCTTAAATTTTCTTAAAATTCAAGCCGACACTTTTCCCCGAGATAGCTGAATATTAAAATTAAATACTTAATTCAGGACCGAAAAATCGAACTATTTTCGATTAGCTAAGAAGTCCGCCTAATTTTGCCACTTGGGAACATTTGATAACAGCACCCTTAATTGTCCTTTGCTTCATCTCAAAGGGGACTTTGGATTGTTTCGATATCGATATGTCTCACGATCGGGAAGAACTTATTGATCCAAGGACAGGTGCCAAATCTATTCCTAGCGATCACTGGTCTATCGGGGCATGATGACGTCAATTAGCCATTATGACATCAATCGAAGGAAGATAATTCAACTTCACGCTGTCATTGGTAATTCACCTATTTACTTGGTCTAGTATAATTTATATTATTGATAGGCGTTTTTTTAATTTATTTGCCCACTTCAGGTCGAGTACCTGAGGAGATACATATTTATACCAAAGATAGTGGCTCCAGAAAATAAAATCTCGCGACTATTCGCCGATGTTTATTTGGAGTACGGGAATTCCTTTGACTACCCAGTCGGAAGTGAATGCATTAAGAATTATTATTATCCAATTAAATAGGAAGTAAATAGCACTGGACAACAAAATTGACTTTATTAAAAGTTGCAGGTCTATTGACATTAAATTATGTTAAAATAAACGTATATAAGCATATCTGCATAATTATTTTTCGATTTTAAGGGGTGGTACTTGTGAATGTTTTGATTTAAGACATCATCGAGAGTCCGTACTTTATTTACACTGGTCGGCATAATTATTTTGACAGATTTGAATGTTAACTGTACTCATATTTTGAACTTATAATATAAACTTCTGGCACCTATATAGCGTTCTCTCTTGTTTTGTTTTTTTTTGGACCTGTCTTCAGTTGTTAATTTATCCTTTACACACAAAAAAAAAACTTTGTAAAATCAACTGTAATAATTGTCAAACAGGCCCCAACCAGCAAAATTGTCAATTCTACTAAGTAAATTGTCATTCCACAACAACAAAATACACAGAATTAGCAAAGACACAAACCCAAAGCAAAAACAAAATACACGAAACTATTTTAATAGTTACGTAATTATCTTTGTTGGTCAATTTTACCAAGCAATTTTTTTTGTGTGTAGGAATGGTAATATGTGACATTATTCTATTCTGAATGCTTAATTTACATGTTAAACTATTAAGTTAAATGCAAAACAGCCAGTAATTAAGGGATAGAGGTACAGAAATACACTTTTTAAAACGCTAAGAAAAAATGCCCTGAGCGACATGTCCCGAGCGAATATGGTTGAAACTGCATAAAAAAAAAACGGCAAAGAATTTTTAAGTAAAACCAAAACCATTTTATAGCGACATGTTTGGAAAACATTCTAAAAAAATCGCATTCAAATATTTCATCAGAATTCGCTTAATTCTGTTGTTGAATGAACTTCCCCGAAATCCGCTTCTACACTCAAAAAATTATTTTTTCTTAAATATAGAAAAAAAAATTTTTCTGTGCTTCAAAAAAAATTTCCATAAAGAGGAAAAATTTTCTAATATTCAGAAAAATTTTCTAATCTTCAATAAAAATTCTGAATTGAACGAGTTTTTTTAGAAAATATTTTCTGAAATACAGAAAAATCAATTTTTTTCTAAATTATAAGGTTTATTTTTTTAATCATCCTTTCTTTTTTTGAGGGTTAAAATCGCTATTGATTTTAGAAAAAAAAAGACTGAACTTTTCTAAAACTAAAAAAAAATTGCCATTAAAATTATAAATATTTCTACATAATAGAAATATTGTTTTTCTAATAACAGAAAATTTTTTTGAAGATTTTTCTAACATTTTGAAAAAAATGTGTGATATTAAGAAATATTTTTCTAGAAAATAAAAAAATTTAACCGTATTTGATCGATTTCCTTTCTTATAGACTTTTTAGAAAAGTTTTTTTTAGCCTAAGAAAAAATCGCTATTAATCGAAGAAAATTTCCGGGATTGGTAGCCTAGGGGTCTAACGCGTGCGTGCATGCATATGTTATTCAAGCTTGCGGCTGCAAGAGTGAGTTCAAACCCACGTCGAAACGAAAAACTCGTGGTGTCTTTTTGTTTTTTTTTTTTAACACTAATAGTTACATATTAATAAAAAAAATGTATTGCATTTTGTTTAAGTTTTTCAAATTTGAAACATTCAATTACTGTTACTATTGAACCATAATAAATAATAAATATATAAATATTAATATTAATCAATAAATATTTAAAAGTAAAATTAAATGATAAACTAAAAGGAATAACCAGAAGAAAGCCAGATCAATTTGAGTAAAAATAGGAGAACAAAATGTGAATAGACTTTGTACAGCGCCTCACGTGATGCTTCCGTGGCGTAGCTAGTAGAGTGCTTGACTGCAAACTGTGAGGCGCGAGCGGTTAGCGGTTCGAATCCCGCGTGCGGCGACCAAGATGTTTTTCTCAAAATAGTAAGTTATTGGGTTTTTATATTTATAATTTGTAATTTGTACACTCATTTCAGTTCCAATTTGAAACCACCCATGTGCTCAATTAAAGGAAATTAGACTAAGTTGACAAACAAGAACGAAAAAAAAACAACACAAAGGCCGTGGCGTCACAGAAACAACCGGGTATAATTCCGAAGCCCGAAAATAGATTTTTGTATATTTGTCTATATTTAAAAAAACCGTATTTCTATTTTTTAGAAAACCTTTATTTCTAAATTCTAAGAAATAATTTTTTACTTTCTAGCAAAATATTTCTAAATTGCAGTCTATTTTTTTTTGATTTTTAGAAAAAACGTCTTTGATTTTAAAAACCTACTTTCTTTAATATAGACAAAATCGCCAGTAAAGCAAATTCATAGGCGATTTTCTAAAACCAAGGGCGATTTCAGTCGATTTTTTTTTTGGGTGTATTTTTGTCCCGAGCGAATACGGCAGTTTTTTAACGATATCTTAAAAACTAAAAATGGTACAAAATCAAGATTTTTACACAAAATAGAGCTTGGGAAGAGTGAAAAGAAAAGCCCATTATTAAAATTAAAATCAATTTTTTTACAATTTTTTTTCAACTTTAAAGGTGTCAAAATGTCCCGAGCGACAATATGGAAGTGCCCATATATAAATGCCGGCGAGTCGAAACCTGTAAGCTGTAAGCTCAGTTGCGATTTGGTTGTTCGTCGGTGCACACCAATCGCCCTCAGCAGCTTTTTCGCGCACGTGATCCACTTTTATTATGGTTATTGGATCAACAAGATAGTTTCTTTGGCGCAAGAAAAAAGAGCGGTCCGGCCAAAGGTCATAGAGTAGAGTCATAGCATTGGCAGATTTTGACTCAATAGCTCGTGGAAATTCAAAAAATCCATTTTATGTTCCTGTGCTGCCCAATGTTTTGGCTTTTAGTCCGTTAACGTGCTTGGCCGAAATCGGTATCCCTTTCACCCGCTCGTACTATCAAAACCGATAACGGACTACATTTGGGGGACTACCTGGTATACTTGTACCATGTATAAACCAAAAAAATTTTCAATCAGGCGATGCTTTCTTTACTTAATCAAAACAAATTTTTGTTGATGTTATCTTATGTAGACATTAAATATTTTGATAATTTACATGTAAAATTGTGAAATAGTTCTGCTAACACTGATTCATATTAGCACCATGCTCTCCGTCTGGGACTCTACCAACTTCAAGCATAATAATAATGGTAAGCACAAGATACTGATTAAAATTTATGAGAGTTTATTTGTCTAGTCTTAAAGTTTTTATTAATTTTGAGTCAACTGCAATTAAAACTCCACCTCCACGTCGGGAGGGACGATCAACCCTGTACTTTGTGAACTTAGTTGGAAAGACTTCCGAACTAAGAATTTCCGGTTTTAACCAAGTTTCTGTAAACACAATAAGACAAGGAAAATCTATCAGTATACAATTTGGTCAACTTACTTTGTAAACCTCTTGTATTCTGATAGGAAAACAAACTATGGCAGCTATATAATATAGTGATCCAGAAATATTAAAAAATGATGTTCCCAAGAGTAGAAGGTAATATTTCATAAAACACCGAAGCCAGAATATTTAAGATTTTTTTTTAATCTTTCCTATGGGAGCTATAAGATATAGTTGTCTGATCCGGCCAGTTCCGACTTATATACTACCTGCAATAGAAAGAAGAGTTTTGGGAAAGTTTCATCCAGACAGGCGGACATGGCTAGATCGACTCGTCTAGTGTTTCTGATCAAGAATATATTTTTATACCCTTACAGAGGGTATTATATATTCAGTCAGATGTTTGCAACGCAGTGAGACGTTTCCGATTACAATTTGTCTTTTTTTAGCAAATTTCGAAATATTATTTTCGGGTTTACTTAGTATAAATGCCCAAATAGTAGATGTAAACAAAATGTCAGGCAAATTAAAAATGTGAAAAAGTAATTTTTTGCGAAATCAGTTTGTAAAAGATGCAATATAAAATTTCACGTAATATTAATGAATTAAAAACGGTCAAAAAATTACATAATTTTGTAGTAATTGATATTGATTAAAATATATTTGGGCTTATTATGGATTTAATAAATTTTGTTATTTCAGAATGGAACCACTTCGCGTTCGTATATAGGAGCGTTGAAATGGATGACCTTAATTGCACTCTGCCGGCCATTTTGGAGTTCCCCAACTTTATGCGACAGAAAAGTTGGGTTGCAACCGTAATGTGCTTTTTCCTCAGCATGTACCTCTTCATAGTCCTGGCGATTGTTTGCGACGAATATTTGGTGCCAGCGATGGAGCGTTTGTGCTACAGTAAGATTTGATCAAATAAAAACACCTCTTAACGAGGTAAAAAACTATGACGATCGCGCCTTCAACATACAAAAGTTCTGATATCAACATTTGTGACGAAAAATTATTAGAGTCGTCATTAAATAGGGGAGAGGTCTGTAGGTTGGTACACCTTTTATTTTTAATCTGCCATTTCGACATTCACTTATGAAACTTTACGCCATTGGTACTGATCGAAAGGTTATTTTATTAGCTTAATAAAAAAGAAAAAAAAATATTTTTTTCCTTAGGGAAAACTGAAAAAGTCGTCCTAAAACATGTGTACGCAGATCAAGTTTGAAAGCCGACCCGATCGGACGTCCATATCCTATAGCTCCCATAGGAACAATCGGATAAAGCTTTCACAAAATTAAGATATTTCGCTCAGTGTACGAGCTATTGAATCTTATTAAATCTTATTATTTTACGCATACCTTGATCAGGGTAAAAGCGCGTGCCGATCGGACGTCTATATCCTATAGCTCCCATAGGAACAATAGGGTGAAAAATTTTAAAATTTTATTTTTTTCAATTATAAAATATTTTGTTGCTTATTAATTCATGTTGCTATTGGAGTCAAATTTAAATTTGTGAAATCTGCAAGGGTATTAAAACTTCGGCTTGCCGATGTTAGCTTCCGTCCTCGCTTTTAATTTACGTAACAACTGCTCATATTTAAACAGCGCTGCGTATGACATATGATGTTGCCGGAGCCACTTTTTTGGCTGCTGCCACTTCGGCGCCTGAACTCTTCGTAGCCTTTGTGGGAACCTTTATCACTCACGGCGACATAGGAGTGGGCACAATCGTGGGATCCTCCGTGTTCAATATCCTGGTAATTGCAGCCGTGTGCGGCATCCTTACTCCACCGGTGCGTAGTAATCACAAATTAAATTAGATACAGTCTCATAAGCATCTTATTTTCTATTTTTTGCAGAGCAAGCTGGATTGGTGGCCGATATCGAGGGATACAATTTGGTACCTCGTGGCCATCGCGTCTCTTACGATTGTATTGTGGGACTCGCTGGTCAAGTGGTATGAAGCTACTGTTTTTGTACTACTATACCTAGCTTATCTCATTCAACTAATCCTGGACCGCCGGATACAGAATTTGGTTCGCAGTAAGGAGAATACTTTTTATACCCGTTACTCGTAGAGTCAAAGGGTATGTTGTATTCTTGATCAGGGTCACCGAGTCGATATAACCATGTCCGTTGTCTGTCTGCCTCGCACAGGTTAAACTAAGTTTAAAATAAAACTAAAGCATTACCTAGCAAACAAAAAAAAATTTACAGAGACTGGGGATTGAGCCGAGGACCTCGTCACTTTGGTTTGTTTTGTGTTAAATTTCCCAAGACATTTACACTCTAGGCTATATTTTGGGATCATATGAATTTCAATTGCAACTAGTTAAATTCCAGTTTTCTTTTAACTAGACCCCAATATGTATTTGTTCTACCAGTTAAATATTTTTAAGGTTTTTATACCCGTTACTCGTAGAGTAAAAGGGTATATTGTAATCGTGCAAAAGTATGTGACAGCAAGAAGGAGGCGTTTCCGACCATATAAAGTATATATATTCTTGATCAGGGTCACTACCCGAGTCGATATAGCCATGTCTGTCTGCCTGTCTGGATGAACGCTTAGATCTCGGAAACTACAAAAGATAGAAGGTTGGGATTTCCTACACATATTCTTGGGCTTCCTACGCAGCGCAAGTTTATTTGATCAAGGTGCCACGCCCCCTATAACGCCCACAAACCGCAAAAAGCCGTGTCGCCCACAGTTTTGTGTATGAATAGTACCAATTCCGTGCCATAGATGGCGCGTCGCCGCGTGCTCAACACTCCTGCTGGTGCTGAAAAAAGCTGGTCACTCTAACTTGGAATATGTGAATGCAAAATGTAAATTTTTTGAAATATTAAAGTTGTTAAGCTGAGTAACGGGTATTTAATAGTCGAGGAACTCGACTAGCGTTCTCTCTCTCTCTCTTGTCAAGAAAGAACGCTATAGTCGGGTTGGTGTCCCGACTATCTAATACCCGTCACTCAGCTAAAGGGAGTGCAAGGGAGATGGATATATACAATTTTTTTGATTGCGCATAACTTTTTAATGAATGGTCCGATTTGAAAAATGTCTTCTACATTTCAATAGGTATAAATATACACAACAAAATTGCATTTATAGTTCTCGGAATTCTTTAAATGTTTGGGCGCCAGACACATTTTAAAATCGTTAGTGGGCGATTGTGGGCGTGGCGCTCATCTGTAACAAACATGCGCTGCGTAGGAAGCCCAAGAATATGTGTGGAAAATCTCAACCTTCTAGCTTTTGTAGTTTCCGAGATCTCAGTGTTCATACGGACAGACAGACGGACATGGCTAGATCGACTCGGCTAGTGATCCTGATCAGAAATATATATACTTTCAGGGTCGGAAACGCTTCTTTCAACCTGTAAAATACTTTTTCACTAACACAATTTTCCCTTTTACTATATGAGTAACGGGTACAAAAATATTTTTAAGATAAAATTAAACTTGCAAGGACTTTTCTATAGCTAAGAAAAATACTCTTTCTCAGAGGCGCATACGGAGTCGGAGTTATTGGACGAGGATCCGATGACGCGTGAGGATGAGCCGCTGAAGGGATTCCGAGAGCACGTGTGCACGAAACCGGAATCAGGCTCTAATTGTTGTCAGTGGACCTGGTGGGCGATCAAATATCCCGCGGAACTGGTGCTTGCCTGCACCATCCCTAGTGTTAGGTCAATTTTCTTCCTGTCCATGCTTCTGTCCATTCTTTGGATTAGTGCGATATCCTATCTGCTTGCCTGGTTTTTAACCGTTGTAGGCTTCAACCTTCACATTCCGGACTCGATCATGGGGCTCACTGTATTAGCCGCCGGCACCAGTGTGCCAGAAGTGGCGTCCTCCTATATCGTATCCAAAAAGGGTAAGTAATTCCACGTTTTACATAGTGGAGATAGACTATACATTATGTATGTTATACTTTACTATAAGTAAATTGCACTGGGCAGATCATCAGAGTGTGTGTGCAGGGTTATGTTCTGCCCACCCGCTGCTCGCTCACGTATACTGTAGGACAGCGGTCTGCACACACACTCTGATGATCTTTATATTTTGTTTATTAATTCATGTTGCTATTGTAGTCAAATTTTAATTCGTGAAATTTGCAAGGGTATTACAACTTCGGCTTGCCGAAGATAGCTTCCGTCCTCGTTTTTACTAATATACCTCTCTTCTTAGGTTATGGTTCAATGGCCATCTGCAATGCTATTGGCTCAAACACGTTCGACATATTCGTATGTCTGGGTCTGCCTTGGCTATTAAAGAGCCTGATTACCCAGCACAGTATCGTGATCGATTCCTCGGCTCTCACCATCACTTCGGCTATGCTAGTAGTGACCGCCATCATCCTTTATGTGAGTTTTCTGATCAGCAAATTTTTGTTAGGCAAGATCGTTGGTTGGATTAGCCTGATCTCCTATATACTCTTTCTTATCATTGCTTGTTTACTGGAGATGTTGTTCAGCAAAGAGAATATGTGCGACATTGACGAACCCTAAGGAATATAAAGTCCTATATGACCAATCGTTTGATACAATTTTAGTTGAAACAGTTATAATAAACATTTTTAACTGTCAGCAAAAGTGAGACTATTGTTTTTTACTCGGCTTTGGGATAAACTTTCGTTTAGCTCCTACCCCCAATTTTTTTCAAACTTTCCATATTGACGTGTTTTTGGGTCCTGATTACGGGAAAAATAGCCAAAGTTGGCGCAAATAACGGGATCTTGAAAAATAACGGTAAAAATCGTAAAATTTTCGGTTTTTTGCAGTTTTTTCGGAAAATAAAAGAAAAATCAAAAAATGACAAAAACAGAAGATATTTATAAAACGGATCTTTTGTGTATTAATCATTTTCTTCGTAAACATAAAGGTTTTCGAGGAAAAACTAAAAGAAGTATTTTAAATTGGGTGTGAACATTTTAAAATACTGCAATATCCCGCCATAAAATGCCGATGGACCTATTTTGCCTTTTTATACGATGTATCGTGTTCATGCTCTTCGAAAAAAGGAAATGGAACGGATGACCTGAATGAAAACTGGATAAGCTTTTAAAGAAAGTAGTAAGGCGATTTTTGTTTAAAAAAATTTTTGCCTGCGATTTTATAAATGATTTATATGTATTTTTTGTTAATACATTTTATTTCCGTTGTATAATTTGTGTTTTATTTTGTTTTCTAAATGTTATATTTAACTACGAGAACTGAAATGCTCTTCCTAAAAAATGTAATAATTCTCTCAGCTGCTCGAGGTTGAGAGTAACTTAATACAAAAAAAAAAAAAAAAAAAAAAATGTAATGCCATTCTCGTGCTTAGGTAGTATCATCGCTAATATCGATATAAATTTTGACACACCGATACAATATGAAGCTTTTGTGCGATATATCGGGCAAAATGACGCAAGTGTGCTCCAACGGTTTTTTATTTTTAAACACTGTGAAAAAATATTCTTATTTAGCGTTTTTAAAGAAAACTATTAGTTTTACAGAAAAAATTTATAAAACATAAAATACTCATTTATTTAATAGCTTTCATTTAGCTAGCTTTTTGATTAAGTTATTATATTCGAAGATATTTAAGAAAAACAGTTTTTACCGTTATTTTCCATGATCCCGTTATTTGCGCCAACTTTGACTTTTTTTCCAATAATCAGGACCCCAAATAACGTGGATTTTGGAGCTAAACGGAAGTTCACCCCATTTTTTTTTCAAGCCCCAGGAAAAAAGTTAAAAATTTGACTATCAAAAAAAATTGTCTAATTTGTCAAAGGGTGCTTAATAGGTTAAGAACATTTTTGTGTCATTTAAACGGAATTGAAGCGCTCTTTCTATAGGTGCCAACATGTTTATATTATAAGTTCAAAATATGAGTACAGTTAACATTCAAATTTGTGAAAATACTTTTGACTAGGGTTGTATATTGAAGCAAACAAAAAAAATAACAGCTAACCTAAATTCAGAATACAATAATATGTACATTAGGGCGGTCCAAAAAATTAAATTCTTTTCTCACCCCTTAGCATGATATAATAAAGCATGCAAAAAATGTATGTGAAAACAAAAAATTTTTTTTTGAGATTTAGACCTTGCGAAACGTTTTCAAAGTTCGCTTTAAAATTACTCATACGACATGTATAAAAGTTCGAATTTGGTCGAACAAAATCGTTTCTTGTCTTGTCAAATTATGAATTTCGTTGGAATAATTGTTTAAAAAAAAGTAGAGCAAAACAACAACTGAATTGTTGATATCTATGCAACCTTGATCAGAAAAACTTTTTGATCGAAGGCAACAGTGCGTATGGGTGATAAACTTTGAAACCAATTCGCAGACCCTAAAACACGATTTTTTTAAAAATTTTCTTTTGGTATACATTGAATACCGCAATGCGCACCGTATAAGCGGATAAGAGTAGGACCTTAAAAATTTCCATACAAATGTGGACCGCCCTAATGTACATTTATATGTTCAATGCAATTTTAGAATTATCTTGATTTCCTATGTAAACTGGGTTCCTATTTTCTGACTTTTATTTAACAGTAGTCTTTCTGAAACCCTTTTAGGTGACTGTTAACTTAAAAGGGTCTCACCGAGTGGTTATTGAAAGACCGATTGCTTTGTTGCCGAACGGTCGGACCGAAACCGACAAGCAAAACCACAAAAGGGTTCCGCTTAGAGTGAGAGTTTGTGAGCAAAATTTTTTTCGGTTTTGTCGAGATTCAAACTGCCTTAGGAAAATCGGTTGACAGTTATTTGCAGTTATTTATGTATGGGTCGAGGATTCGAATGATCTTTGGGCTGGATAACTCTCAAAATGGAATCTATTAGATTATATTTAATCAGAAAAAAAATTTTGTTAAGTTTAATCATTGGAACCAGGAAAAATCGATGGTGTCGTATAATTTTGAAACAATCACAACTAGCCGTAAAATATACTATATTTCGAAAAATTAGCGGTAAGTCCTTGAAAAGAGGATCAAGGACGCGTGGTATTTTTTTCGTACACATGATACATTGTTCTTTCGATCTGCATTAAAATGTTTCGCTTTCTATAAACAACAACAATACTACAAAATTAAAAAAAAGGTATGGGTGTCGTATAGTTTTGAAACACACCTTAGCCTAAACATGTGAGTTTCAACGTTAATCGAGACAAAGACTCAAATTTTAAATGTAGTGCGACCAACAGTATGTGTTTCGTACTAAATGTAAAAAATTAAGTTAATCTTACCACAAACCAAAGAAATTCCATTAACAACATTTGCTATCATTCCACTCTTTGTTAAATCTCATATATATTAATCATATAAATACATTATTAAATTTTTTAGTGTGGTTTTGGTTTTGTGTTTCGCCCTTTAATTTCTTTTCATATCTTCTCATCTATTTTCAATTTTTCATTTGGTTTCTAACCGAAGGTTGTGAAAGAGTCTACTTTAATAATAATAATAAAAAAAAAAGTATTATTACAATAACAGCATAACGTATAACGTAACTCAACTATCGAGGAAGATAGAATAGAACAGAAAATTCATATTAATTAATTAAACGACTGCACTCCAGCCAGCTGCCGGAAACTGAATCGGAAAACGGAACCAGCACTAGATGACTGGCCTTTCTACACTCCATCCATTCATTCAAAATGGTGAATCGTTCATCCACACCTCATACTCCACAAGTCGGCCTTCGTATATCGCGCTATCATCGGATACAGATCCATCTCATGATCGACCGCATGTGGGCAGGTTAACGCGGAAGAACACGTTGAGTTCGATGAGGGAGGCGAAAACCATGAAAACCAGGTACATCACCAGACAGGCGGTGCCCACCTTCTTGTCCAATTTGAACTTGTTTGTGGAGAACGTTAGATACAGCAGAAACAGCGTCGACAGCAAAGTGATCGCCGAGTACTCCAATCCAGCCGAGTTTATGGCCACGTAGTTCTGTCCCGGTTGGATCGGAAAGAAGACAGCTTTGATTAGCCAGGGAACCCCCAGGCACAGCAGGATGTCGAAGGTGTTTGACCCAATTGAGTTGCAGATCCCCATCGATCCGTGACCTGTGGCAGATACTTGAATAGACCACACTTCATCAGATATCGTTTTTTGACCACTCACCACGCTTCGCCACGATCACACTGGATACAGCTTCGGGAACGCTAGTTCCAGCCGCCAGGAATGTAATCCCCATCACCGAGTCAGGTATCTTAAGTGTATCACCTGTGTAGAAAGAAAATAAGAAATAAAGTCATTAAAATATGTATATATGGCGAATATCCACAGAGAACGATATAGTCGGGTTGGTGTCCCGACTATCTAATACCCGTCACTCGGCTAAAGGAAGTGGGAGGGAGATGGATGAAAAAAATAAAATAGAATGATAGCCAAATTTATCGATGGTCACTATCGCTGTTTTCACAACCCTTAGGGGTTCACCAATTATTTAAAGACTGCTAGTCTAAGACCGGAGAATAAGTAAGTAGTAATTTAATAATCATGCACATATCTCACCGATAATGGTTATCATCCACGCAACCACGTAAGACAGCGATCCTATCCAGACGATGCACATTATGAAGGTAAGCGGGAAAATCTTGTTGTTCTTGGCCTTCTTGCAGTCGGGGATGGCGATGCGAAATAGGAGATGAATCGGCCAGATAATGAGCCAGGTAAACTGTGCAAAACAGCTCTTATCCTTCGGGTATGTGAGCAGGGAGTAGCCCTCTTCCTCGCGATCCTCATCAGCGGCAGCCACAGCTAGCTGGGACTCTGCCTCGCCACCGTCCATTTGTGCCATAAGGGCAATGGAGCCCGGTTCAGAAGGAACATCACCTGCCGCCCTTCCTCCTTCTCCTTCAGCTCCGACACTGTGCGTGGTGGTGCCTATCGCGGTGGTCATGGCTGAGGTGGTGATCGAAATGGTGGTAGTGCCGCCACTGGTGGTGCCTGTAGCCTTCGGCGGGTCATTGTTTAGTCCTCCGTTCAGCTGAATGTTAGCCATGTTCTGGCATATACGATTTTCCACGAGCTCTGCAAAGGTGATTTTTAGAGTAAATTAAAGGCAGCTAATAGTTTGGTTTAGAAAGCGGGACCATGTCAGGAGTCAGATGTAGTGAATGCTACGTGTTGGCTGGTATGAAGGTGGATTTGGTGGTTTCTTGTGTACCTGGTTCCTTCTCATTGCTGTTTTTTGTGTGTATGCTGCAGTTGGAGGACCGGCTGCGCGAACGCGCCTGCTTTACGCCACCTGTGTAGTATCGTGAGAGTAAGGTTTTGCAAATATGTATTGTATTGTAAAATCTTAAAGTATAGCTCTAAAAGCTTAGAATCGGCATTGTTTTTTACCCTTAAAGAGGGATAATGAATTCAATCAGAAGTATGCAACACAGTGAAGGAGACGTTTCCGATTCTACAAAGTATATATATTCTTGATCTAATTGTGGGCGCCAGACACTGAAATAAACTTGCGCTGCGTAGGAAGCCCAACCTTCATAGCTTTTGTAGTTTCCGAGATCTCAGCATTCATACAGACAGACAGATGGACAGACAGACGGACATGGCTAGATCGACTTGGCTATATATATATATATATATATATATATATATATATATATATACTTTATGGGGTCGGAAACGCTTCCATCTAGCTGTTACATACTTTTGCACGAATACAATATACTCTTTTACTCTACGTGTAACGCGTATAAACATATGAAAACATTAATTTTTGAGTAATTTCTGCACCCAGAAAAAAAAGTACGAAAAAAATCAAGAACATTTTTCATGATTTGCGAACAATCCGTTCTCCTTTTTTTGTTCTCACATTTTGAACGTTTGTTCTTAAATCTAGAACGCCGTTCGTAAAGACAAAACCTTCTGTTCATAAAAGTGGAACAGTGTTCATAAAAATTTCCAGCTTTGAACCAGTCGGTCTGAATATGCGAAAATTGGTCTCAAATTTCGAACGCCGTTCATGAAAAAGCTACGATATAAGGGTTATTTTTATTGAAAATCGATTGTTTGTTCGCCACATTGTTTGTGTTTCTGGTGAGTGTTAATTGCAAAGAAAGTGCTAAAATGGAAAACAAACTGGATATTAACGTATTTACGTGAAAGTATGATGGTAAGAATTAAATGGAAGATCATTTTACATTAATCCAAGTAAAATATAGTGTAATTTATCAGACAACGAGGAAGTTTGCAGTGAAATAACCGGCGACGACGCTCAGCTGTTAACGTTTTTGGAGAAGCATCAGATTATGCAAGTGTATTCCCAAGTGTATTCGAAATATATATAAAACTAAAAATTTGTACGCATTTTTATTATGGCGATTTGAATTATTAAAAAACCGTTCTTAATTTAAGAACGATATGTTCATAAGTAAGAAGGTACCGCTCGCAGAATTTTGCTGAGGCGTTCGAAAATGGTCCCTTTTCGGTTCACAGAAAAATACCAGTTAGTTTCCTATTTAAACCCATTATGTTTCTAAGGCTGGGATGACATATTCAATTTGTATCATCAATTTATTGTGCGGCGAACCTGGCGAATTCAAATGACAGTACATTCAAATGTATTTATTTTCCCCATAACGCTTATTTTTGCTTAGTATTCGTAATATTTTTACGGAATTTTAACTATGAACGGTAACATTTACTTGTGACAAGTTTTGCAAATAAATAGTTCTAGTGAAAATGGTTTGCTGGCGAGATGAGGGCATCAATTGTCCTAATGATGTTGTTCAAAATGCACCGTATATTTGGAATACAGTTGCGGACAAAAGTCTACGGACGACCCCCTTTTTGGGAGTTCCCCCACTCCTATTGTTTTTACGGGAAAAGTAATGATGCAGTTTTGTTCTTAATGTTATTAATATACAAAAACCAAACTTGTATTCTTATTCTCACAAAACTTTAAAAGTTACGGACGAAAAACTTAAAAATGGCATTGACAAAAGTCTACGGACGATTTTTTACATAGAACTTTCAAAATTTTCGATCCAAAATTACCCAAACCTGCTCTATAATGTGTATGCCCAGGCCTTATGGTGGTGAAAACAATTGCCGGAAAGCATAAAACAGCAGCCAATTCTTCAGGATATGCGCCGTATGCTTGGGATCATTATCCTGTTGGTGAATCAAGATGGTTCCGAGGCATTATTTGTCCACAGATACCTTCAAATTATGTTCAAATATGGTCTCATACTGAGAACGAACCATAATACCCTCGACTATGACCAAATTTCCTCATCCCGAGGCTTCAAAAGGTTACGGAAGTTTACAAATTTATGAAATCCTACGATGGTGTGTCTTAACGCAGCGGAGTCATTCTAATAACATTCGAACTCTATAACCTTCCATCTAAAATCTAAATTTCATGGCACTCGGTAAAATCAACCCAATCCCATGAGATGCAAGTCTTGCCAACTCCTCGGTCACACAACCAAAAAATGTGGAAACACCGCACTTTGCTCCGAATGTGCCCAACCACTCCCATTCCCCAAACAAATTCACAAAAATCTGCTGTGCCAATTGCTCTGGCGAGCATCCGACCATTTCCAGACAATGTCCTAAGTACCAAGAACAAAGAGAAATACTTAAAATAAAAACAGTCAGAAAATGCACTATGCGTGAAGCCAAAACAATATACAAAACAACGTCACATAATCCGGTTAATACCGCTTCTTACTCTTCAGTAGCCAAATCATCAAATCATCATAGCGAGAACGCAAACCTTTCCCCATCCTCCAGTCCCCTTCTCCCAGTCCCCTTCCCCCATCCCACAGTGCCCTATCCCCACAACCCCTAATCAGCCAAAGCGATGCGGTCCACTTCCTCATAAATAATAAAAGGAATCAATGTCTCAGCTAATGTAGCTATCCCACAAACCAAACCCTCTCTATATCCGCGAAATGTTTCTTGGTGGAGCAAAACTCTGCATGATCTAAGGCAACAAAAGCAATCTTTCTGGCATGCATACAAACAAACTCAGAGCACCGCTGCCCTGATTTCCTATAGAAAATCGGATGCTCTATTTAAATACAGAGTACAACAGGACATCTGGAAAAACAGAACAGAACATCGAACTGGAAGACTGGTCGTCGTTTAACCACTGGTAGCAGTAAAATCCTGGCAAAAAGGACATCAAGTTCCCTACTTCGATCAACAGAACATACATATGTATGTTAGCAGAACAACTAAGTTTTAAAACAAAAAATGTTAAAACCAGACAAACTAAATTTTTTCTTTCACGAATAATTTACGTCAAAATAACGGCAAATTCCCATTAAAAAGATTTTGGAAATTTTGCACTTTGGTGTGGGTTGATATCAACTTAGCAGAACATCTTATAATTTTAAAAATAATTGAGCGGCAAATTTTTTTTTTTTCACGAATAATTTACGGATAAGTAACGGCAAATTGTCGATAGAAAAAAATTTTCATTTTCAAAAGTTGCATTGCTAACTTTATGCACATAATTTCAGGACCTTTCCAAAAACAATTAAATCCAATTATTTTCTGTATAATAAATAACACAGTTTTTGAAACAGTTTGACCGTTGAATAGGAATAATATACAAAACTGTTAAAAATTACTTTTATTTTAAAAGTGATAACTGTTACAGTCTCTGACTTATTTGTGCAAGCACGTGGCCAATACGAAGTAATATATTTAAATCTTCGCATATCGATGCACCTGAAGTTGACTATTGTTACCAAGGGGGTTAGGATCTTTAGGAATATCACTCACCTTTGGCGCACTTTTGGAACGTTTTGTCGAAATACATGACCGCCAGGTAGACGGCGTACAGGGAGACCAGGATGAGGGCTTCGTACCACTCGACGCGCTCGTCGTGCATCACACAGATGAGAATGGCCACTGTAACTCCGTAGGCAATACTGTCCCGTGTCAACGGCCACCAGTCCAGGGGTATAGTCTGGATTGTAGGAGAGGATTAGGAGATAAGACAATTAGTACTATAAGGCACCCAAAGAGGACTGCACTTGCCATTCCAGCTCCAATTCCGCAACAGGCGGCGACTGCCAGGATGTTAAATACCGCCGATCCGACAATCGTGCCCACTCCGATATCACCCTCCGTGATAAAGGTGCCTATCACGTTAACAAACAGCTCTGGGGCGGAGGTGGCCGCAGCCATGAACGTGGCCCCCGCCACATCATTGGACATGTTGAGTGCTAGTAATTGGTTAATATGGATGCGTAAGTAATAAATATTCAAAGTCCCAACGAACCCCGCTGACGAACCTGCACATATTTTCTCAACTGCTGGCACGAAGTACTCATCACACACTACGGCTAAGGCTACGAATAAATATAAACTGGCTATAACATGAAGTACAACAGCACCGGACTGCCTTTGCGCCTCCGAGAAAAGATCCCTGGGGAAGTCGTCGATGGCGGGCTGAGTGCAATTTATATCTGTAAGATATGGCACAGTAAAAAGTCGTTCAATGATTGTTAGTTTAAGCCCATTTACAAAATAAGGTATTTATGTCAATCATTTGTTCTATAATTTATTTATTTAATTCAATGTTATTTAGTTTTTATCATAGCGCAGCAAGCTTGCACTTATATTTGTAGCACTAGTCACGTTTAAATTCAAACTTATAATTATAACTAATCTAAGACTTTATTTATGTAGCATACTTATGTGTCGTACCTTTTTAATTGATTATTAATTCCTCTTATGAAGTATATTTAAGTAATTTAGGTAATTTGTTTCATGCTTTTAATGACACGCTTTTTTTAATTTTTTTGTATAGCATTCCACTTAAGTTTCTTTAATTTATTATAATAGTATTTACTTCTTAAAAACATTTATAAAAACTGTATAATGAAAAGAGCTTAAGCCTAAGGTTTGAAAGTCTTTCCTTTCTCATCTCTTCAAATAAATAATACCTTTAATTTACAACATTCTTATAAGCACAAAATAAGTTTTCTTACTGACTATTTTTAGAAGTCTTAGGATAACTGTATGTTATCAATTTTCCAAACTTCTTTATAAGCCTTTGGTGTATTAATATATTATCGATTTTATCTTAGGTCTATCTATATTTTATGTTTGAAAAGGTATAAAATTCACTGGTTTTGCGCACATTTCATACTGCTACTGCCACAATGTTTAACCCAACAAAAAAAAAACGAATATCAATCAATTGAGGAACAAGGGTCCCCGAATCGCCGAATTTTCCCGAGAGCCTCGTCTTTCTTTTCTTTCTGTATCACAAGTCGGAGTCTCAAGCGTCGGTAATGAACTAAACCAGCACAGCTCCAAGAAATACCACAAGACTGGCGATCTGAACCCAGAACGTGGCACCCAGTGCCCCGCACCCCAGGAATCGAACCTCAAACATAAGCCGAAATGGAAACTGCACGAGATACTGGCACAATTACACGAGATACCCATACAGATGCAACTTAAGCAACTGGCCAGCGATACAAATACATCTGCTGGTACCGAAACAGAATCCGAATTAGAACCGAAACAGAAACAGAAACAGAAGCCGAGCCGAAGCCTCGCTTTCTTATTATCGTAGCTCATAGATGTACTTGATCATCGATCAAATATGCGACGATCGGCAGCGGAAGCGATAAATACGCCTTTGATGTCATCAAATTTAATTGCAAATCAACAAAACTGAAGCCGCACGCTGAAACCTCATCCGAATTGAAACTGAGAACTATGCCGGGAGCTAAAAACAGTTCCACTAGCGGAAAACTGCAAGCACATCAACACGGGGAAAAATGGGCGACCAAATCCCAATTCAATGAATTTCAAGTGTAATTTAATCTAACATAGCAAATAGTATTTGGATAGAATTTTAAATAATTTAATGATTTTCCTGGTCGGCCTGTTTCTAATTTGAAAACCCTTTACCAGGGTACTTTTACTTATGTCAGAGGTTTGTAACTTAGTGAAGGAGAAGTAAAGTATAAATAAAATAAGCAAATTCTTAATCAGCATCACTTGGCAAGTCTTTTTCAAGGCCGTTTGCATACTCTGTTTGAGAGCTAAATGGGGGTGTCAAATAAGCCGCACAGAGTTGAAATATACTGAAATTTATATTGCGCTATTATATTCAGCGCTAAGCGCTAAGTCCGAAAGACTTTCAACAATTATATAGACCCTTAAATATATATATATATATGCTATTGATAAACAATTAAAATATAAAGCTATGATCAGTTTCATATAAATAATATGTAATACCTAAAATAAGTTGTTGCGATGTCAAGTTGATAATAAAATTAAAATTCTATTCAATTACACTATTTTAAAATTAAAGGAAATAATAATTGTAGTATTCACATATATATCTATACAGGTAAATAAATAAATTTTACGTTTTGTAACGTAGTGCTCATAATTGTATTCTGTTAGCAATAATACATTCAATAAAATCTTATCAATGCTAAAATGGTTTTAATCTGGATTCTTACATAAATAAAATTATTAGATTTACAGCAGTTTTAGCTTTTGGATTTAAACCTTTCGCCACCGTGAAACTTTTTTAATTGTAAACTTTATTTTTGTTCTAAACGTATGTAACCTCAAGTAAATAATAAGGAAGAGTGTAAAAATGTTAATTTAATTTTTTTCATCATTTGATTTGCCATATTAGGATTCCTTTTTTTTCGTGCAGAGCACCTGAGTCGGTTCCCGGTGCCGAGAACAAGAAGCGACGGACCGACTTTAAGCCACAAATTGAAACAATAAATGCTGACCAAACCCAACGCGTAAAGGCAGCCACAATAACACTCATAATAGCCATCGATTGAGCGGCATGAGTTGATGGATGCCATGGGCAGGTCGGGGAAGATTTGGAGATTTATACATAGACACTGAGGTGACCGTACGTCGTCATATATATAAAATAGCACAGCGCAACATGGTAAATGGGACCCTTTTGTAAACAAATTTCAATTTCTATAACAGCGATATCTTGAAAATCAATTAAAATTTCTCTTTTATCTGAAAGTGCAATCTCTTAACGAGAATTTCCTAAAGCATTTCATTACCTTTTGTCAATATTTACAACAAAGCAGTCAAAATTTCAAGCAGGTTATAGATCTAACTAAAATATACGGTACAAATTGAACTAATATGGCTAAACGGCTCCACAAAAAAAAAATAAGGGCACGCTCCATAACAGTAAAAATGTAGTTCAGTGTAATTAGAAAGCCCAAGCCAGTAATCACTCAAGCATATGAAGCGCTATTGTATGCCTGACCCAATCACACAAATTGTGTTTTGTTCGTCGTATGTTTCAATCGAAATCATCGGACTCTGAGTTTTTGGTCTGTCGATTAACGCAGGGGATTAGCGGGGGGCTACCAATAATTCAAACTATAACTGGAAATTTGTTCAGAATAAATTTTAAAGATTTCTACTTTATTTTAAAAGCAATAAAGAAAGCCAAAGCTTATATGTCCTTGCAGAGTGTTTCTAAGGCAAAATTAAATGGAAATTCTGAAATATTCAAAAACCATTCCCCAGAGAAGAAGCTAATATACATGTAGGATTGACAGTCCTATTACATAACAGATCAGTTGTTCTGTTCCATAACATTTTTCGTTAGTTTTAAAAAGCGTAAAAAATGCCCATGAGCAGAGGAAGGTCGCGTGTATCTCAGTTATATTACAGTGTCAAAATTAAGTACAAAACTGTTTACAAGAACTGCATTCATCGAAGAATAGATCGTGCCTAATGGGCTTACGAAATTTAGCCATTTATAGCTGTTTCCCGCTAAACTAGACAGTTTTTCTAAAAGTGGTGTAACTAATGTTTTTATATCGAGCTGTTTAACACCATATAAAATTTCCAGGACTTTAAACCAACGTTTTTGGACAGACAGACAAACCGACAAACAAAATTAAATTTTCATTTTGGGAAGAAGAAGAAAATCTTCTTTTGGCTATAACTTTTGAACGAAGCGTCTGATTTGATTGCGAGGGGGCATTTGTCCCCACCGGCCCCAACAAATTAAGCTTTTTCACTTTCACCGCTCTCTCTCCCAAGCCAATTGATTTTCTAAAAGTCTTGGAATACAATCCTGTTAGTTTTTGCGATACCTTTCGATACGTGTATCACTCATTATGATCGGACCATAACAGCAAATTTTCAATTCTGCGGCTATATATAGTAGTCGCCTTCGGACACTCACTACATGGACGGCCGTCCATAGTGATAAACTTGCGCTGCGTAGGAAGCCCAAGAATATGTGTGGGTAATCCCAACTTTCTATTTTTTTAGTGGTTTTGGGATCTCAGCGTTCATACGGATGGACAGACAGACAGACATGGCTATATCGACTCGGCTATATCGACTCGGCTAGTGACCCTGATCAAGAATATATATACTTTATTGGGTCGGAAACGCTTCATTCTCCCTGTTACATACTTTTGCACGAATACAATATACACTCAAAATAAATTTAACCCTAAATTTTAGAAAATCGCCATTAAAATTTCTTTTTTCTAAATACAAGAAAGTAATTTCTAAATCTAAGGAAATTTTTCTTAAGTAAGAAAGTTTTTCTTAAATCCAGGAAGTATTTCTTAAATGTAGAAAATGGTTACCATGAACTAAAATCACCCTAAAATCTAGAAAAAATGCCCTTAAACTTAGAAATAATTTTCTGAAAAATAGAAAGGCAAACGAAAATAATAAAATATTTTGGCAACACTTTTTCTAAAAATGAGTGCCCTAACCCTAAAATTAAGCTAACCCTAAATAATAGAAACATTTTCTAAAAAGTAGAAAGTTTTTCTAAAAAATAGAAATAGTTGTTTTCACATGCTCTGGCACACCAAAATGTTCAATACCAGAACTTGTCAGATGCCGGGCGGCTGTACTCGTAGCGCAGACGGTTAAAGCGCTTGGTTAGAAATCGAATCGACCCTGGTTCGAGTCCCAGAGCAAACTATTTTTTAAGTTTTTTTTTAAAGTTTTTTTTAAGTTTTTTTTTAAATTAGTTTTTTTACTCTTTTTTTTATTCCTTTTTTTTTATTGATGGCAAGCGGTAAACCGAAAATAATTTGGTTTATATTTAGCTATTTACTATATACTACACATAATATAAATTGCGATAGCATAAATATATACAGAAGTATATATGTATGTAAATAAGTAAAACGCGAATGGTCAAAATTATGCAATTAGTATTAAAATGTATTCTCTGCTTGACCCTTTACATACAATGCTCGGTTTGCCACAGCAAATTTAAGTGCTACAATGGCCCAGTATGTAGGCCGTTCGCTCCTCGCGCGGGAGACCCGGGTTCGATTCTCACCGACGGAAGATAAAATATATTATGATATAATATTTCATGAAGATAAAATATTAACTAATCATAATTTCTACATTCCCAATCTTCCGCAGTCCCGTAGTCCACATTTACAACAACATTTGGCTTTGG